TCACTTTAATGTAGCTTGCGCCAACAGTTATACACAGAAGCAGCTGCGGGAGCATGACGTATGAGGTCAGTGCTGCGCATGCATAGTGATTTATTTTGGTTCATCTTTGATATGGATTTGTTTGGTTACCATAACGAGATAGAAAGTAGAAAGCTCTTGGTTTTCATTAAAAACATCCTCATTGTGTTTCGAAGATGAACCAAAGTCTTATGGGTTTAAGAAGGTCTGCTCACCCCGAGGGCTGACGCTCTGTGCGTCCCATTGAGAGCTGGGCTGAGGTTGTGTGAGGTGGTATGAAGAGAGATCCTGCACCTGTGAAATAATAACAGCTCGTCACGTGTGTGTCTCTGTCAGTCTGTGGATGATCAGAGGACGTGATGTGAATCTGGACCTGCTCAGCGTGTGGTTTGGGCCTGTAGGCCTCCAGCTGCTGGCGTCTCATCATGTGTTGGTGGATGAGCAGAGTCTGACGCTCCTTCTTCTTCTGAGCCAGAGCCACGTATATGGGCTTGGAATCAATGATGCGGCAGTTCATCTCGGTGATGGCTCTGGTGGCCTCTTCGGGAGACGAGAAGCAAACGAATCCGAAGCCTCGGCTGCGGCCGCCGTCTGTCATCACCTGAACAGAACACACACTCCTAAATCTTCACGTTCACTGGGTTACAATTAAATAATGACACAACTATTCCTTTATGTATCGCAGATCGATTGCTACCTTAGCGCTGGTGATGGTCCCGTACGGAGAGAACTCTCTGAGCAGCCGTTCGCTGTCCACGCTGTCGCTCAGATTCTTCACGTACAGATTCACGCCCTGTCAGGACCATCAAAACACGTACACTAGAGCGATTACTGTAACGACAACTACAATGATAACTATAACAATAACTAAATTAATGATAACTTCAGCGATAACTAACAATAGCGCTAACTATAAAAATAACAATAACTATAACATTAACGATAATTATAATGATAACTAAAATAACGATAACTTCAGCAATAAATAACAATAGCTCTAACTATAACAATAACCATAACGATAACTATAACAATAACTTCCTATAACTTATGCAATCACAATAACTATAACTTAAGCAATAACTATAACAATATCTTTTGCAATAAATATAAAAAACCTATAGTGATAACTACAGCTAGCAACCACCCCAGGTACCCTGGCAATATGTTTTATACCTATCTGTTTTTCTGATAGA